CTTCCCTGCCCCACCACCGCTGTACGACTCCCCTGTCTGGGGTAACATACAGATTAACACAGCGAGGACAGTAGTTTTCCTGGCTTGTGAAACAACCCAACATCCCGAGAGGAAAGGCAGTCTTTAAAACAAAGTCTCTGGGGTTTTTATCCCAGCTTGTTCTCTGTTCAAGTAGTGGGGAAAACTGGAAAGCCCAGGTCAGCACTCAGAGGCTCCCTTGCTCCCTCTCCAAAGGGGAATGCTGCTCTTACAACTTAGCACTCTTCACACTTAGAGCAAGAAGTGATTTTGTTTTCAGAAATCTTACTTAAGAGGGCAGAAGCCCACAGAAAAGACTAACCTCTCCTATCCAAAAGGACAGCTTATCAATCTTGTAAACAGAGACAAAGGTGTCCACGTAGTACAGGAGGAACACGTTGTGCAAAATGGAAACAAACAGCGACAGGGACCCGTAGATCACTGCAGTGGGCAAATGAAACAGGCAAGCTAACAGCCGCAACCCCATGTTGGTGCAGTCAGCGTTTGGCTCCTTCGATCACCTCCATTTCAGATGGGACGTCTTCTCCCAACACCTGCTACACCTTTGTTGGGTCCAATCCATTGTTGCTCCTGCAGGAGAGAAAAAAATAACAAAACAAAATAAAACCAGAGTCAATTTCTTAAATGAACTAAAAGTTGAATCAAATTAATTGGCAAGTCTTTGCCAGCAGAGATCAGAATTCATGTTGCTCTGAGGAGCTGTTCAAAAGTGGATTGGAGGGGATTTGAGAGACTAAAAGCTGTCTGCTGCACTAAAGCTGTTTCACTAAGCTGAGGCCAGGCTGTGGGATCCCCAGGGTACAACCATCTCCTCGTGAGCAGCCTGCCCCGTCCTTTACCCTGTAATGTCCTTTGTTACCCTGCAAGCCACCGATTAGCTCTTCCCAGCTCTTTAAAGGTCACAGGAGGAATCAAGCTAGGTAGCTGTGAACAACAAAGCAGCCTTCAGCAAACACACCTACTCACTGACGTTTTTAGGTACCAGTGTAAAGTTTTAGCCAAACAGAAGTGACGAGGGCTGTGGCAATCTCACACGTGCACGCTGCTTCCCCCAGCAGTCACCGCTGACAGCACCTGGGCTGGCTCAGACAGCAGTGGCTGCTTTGTGGCATGACAAGACACGACCAGAGATGATGGCATGCAGCAGACATGCCGCTGCCGTGCAGTAAAGGCAACCTAAAGCCGCTTGGCAGCTGTCCGGCTTGTCTTGGGGTGGCCTCAATTTTTAGAATCGGTGTCTGAAATAAAGATGCTTTGGCTGGACAGCAATATACATGGAAATAAAGCAAGTGGAAACAGCAGCCTTACACCAGAACAAGCCACTGCCTGTTTGTTCACAGGGGACTGAGGTGTGAGGGGAGGACTCCTCACATGGGCATGGAGAGGAGATGGGACCATAGTCCTCTCACAATGCGCTCCCATGCTTTTCAAACCGAGCCCGCTCTCACACTGAAGTTGCTACAGACCAAAGGCAAAACACGAGGCACCTCTCTGGAGGCACTCATGTATCTGGGGAGATGTTAAGGGTTCTTAAATCAGCATGTGCCATCCTAAAAAGCTCTGTTCACAGCATACACGTGATGGGTGACTACAGGGTCACTACCTTAACACTGTCATGAGCGAGATAAAGGGCTGAAAGTCACTCCCGTTTCAGCCCTCCAGGGTCCACACTCACCAAACTCAGATGTGTCATGAAGAACTTCATGGGATAAGAATTAGCGCATCAGAAACAGGAACCTATGCACCGAGCCAGCAACAGGCTTGCAACATCAGCTGCAGCCAGTCCAAGCAGAAGATCAAGAAAAATAAACAGCTGGGTATGGTCTCATTCAGCATTTCCCAGCAGCCGTGAGTCTGACCACTTCTAGGCAGGATCAGAAACACAAAGATAGGCGCCCGCTCTGCCTAGCCCAAGGGATTCCTCGTAACTCGCTCACGAACAGCGTTTGTTCCAATCAATTACATCACCAGACTGAAACTGCACAGCGGCTGCACTCCCAGCCAAAGCACAAGACCTCAAATGGATCCAACTGCAGAGCCCTCGTGGAGCTGAGCCACCATCCCCACCACGCCAAAACCCGTGGCCAGATAAAAGGAAGACACTGCACGGAGGGGAATTCAGCAAGACAATGAACTTTTATAGGTGTAATTAAAGACAGACAAGCCTCAAGGGGAAAAATGCATTTTGTAAGGTCATGAATTGAACAGGAATCAAGAATTTGTGACGATAAAGTCAAAGGTTAAGAAGAGAGGAGAGCTAAGCCAACACTGATGAGTCCTCTGTCTCTCCCCAAAAGCCTTCTGTAGAGGCCTGGTTCAGGGGCAGATGAAGCCATCAGAGTGCTGGGCACCCTCACAAACAGGATGGAGAACAGGCAGACAGCATCATTTTGCACCATATGAAACCTCAGTGCACCCAGACTTGACCACTGCCTGCACATCTAAACTCACTACAAAACTCCTGAGACACAGAGACGAGGGAGATGAAAGAAGGGCACCCAGAGCAACGAAAGGACTGAGGCTGCTGGGGAAAGACTGAACAGCTGGAACTCTTGTCGTGGTTTAGGGCTGGGCCGGCCA